TGTCAGCTGTTTTCCTCAAATTTGGTCTCGTATTTGCGTAGGGTGTTTGTGCGAGCGCGACTGGGAAAAATATCATGCTGCGTGCAGCCCGAGTGACGTCACGCAACGATTTGCTGTTTCTCTGTCCTGCGTCCGACTCTTGCGCCCTTCCGCGAGGCACACCGCGGATTCGCGAACATCGAGTCTTTTCTATTCAGCGCGATGATGCGTTTCTTGAATCGACTTTCGAAGCTCGTTAATCAGAATTTGCACATTATTTTGAAGCGCGCTAATTCCTCTCGATTTCGTCTTGTCGATCTTTCAAAACTTGCATTGTCTGTTGCACGGAACGTTTGTTGGCGACATCGCTATCATCTACTGGCAGCGCTACACGTCGAATCTTGCGTGACTTTGCGTCAAAGTCGGATGCAACTACGTAAAGAGCGTTATCGCGCACATAATTTCTGAGTAGTCCACTCAACTGACAATACGAACTTGTTCCACTTATACCGAGCGACGTCCCAAACTTGTTGATCGGCATTTCGATGTTGACTAAATGATTCGTACTGTGCCATCTAATTTATAATAATACCTGCTTCGCGAAGTTCTTCGATAATCGACAGCATCTCGTTGTCGTGCGCATTGTGACCAGCTTGGCGCGAGGCCTTGAGCAATCGGAGGCGATCCACCAGCTCGTTGGGATCGTCCCAATGAATGTACTCAATCTTGCTATCATTCACTGTCATGGTGCGCGGTATACCTTATCCAACTTTTTTACCGTTTTTTACAAAATTTGGTAACAGGGGCGCGATTATATTCTTATACTTGTGACTCTTGTTATCCATTATTTGACTCCGTGCGCTGCGATCGCGTCTATACGCGTTTGTAGCTAATAGAATACTCTGATATTTCTGTAGGTCATCATCGGTGTAGACTGCTTCATTTGGATAAAACATGAAAATCAATTCATAAAGTCCGGGTGTTCTAGAATGACTTTTCCCGTCTATGATTATATTATCGTTTTTATCCAAGGTGATACATTTGTCACCGAGCTTCGTTCCCTTGCTAAAATAAACTCCGTAAACGTCGTCTATGTTGAGCACTTTTTAACCGCTCAGGACCGCACCCAGATATTTTTGTCCCAAAGGACCATAGTGCATTTGTAGCTTTTCTTGTTCCTCGGATGTTTGCAATTGGTTTCGAGCGGATGTTATGAGCGGCTCATTGGCGATTTCGAAAATTCCTTCAACGGAGGGAGCATATGATTCATCGTGTGATGGTAATATTTCAGACATTTCATTCAAAGCAGATGGCATAGTTTTCGAACGTTTCAGCATTGATTTAACCAGAGTGGAAGCCAGTATAGAATTGTCTAACGAGGCGCTTAATTTTTTCGTTTGGGTGTTGGTTTCATATATCCTTCGTCTACTCCCGAAAAGAACGATTCGTTCTCGACCGTCATTCATCGTCGGCGGTATTTTCAGCAATTCGTTTTAGAGGCTCGATGATGGGTTTAAAGTGTCTCTCCAACGCGATATGTTCTTCCATTCTACCAGTTTTCAAGGCGCGATATTTTTTGCGAATGGAATCGCTCGTTTTTTCAATCTGTTGCGCTATTCTCTCGCAATCCTCTATATCGCGCTTAGAAATGTTGCACAATCGATGTATCGACAACAACTAACCATGTTACAGTACCGCAAAGTCATTAAATCCTTTTCTATATCGCCCACTGACAAGTGCACTATCCTTGTCTATCACTAGAAATCCATACTTTTGTTGCCAGCAATTGTGACACAATTTACAGAAATTCTCGTAAGACATGTCGGTTTACGTGATCGTTGTACACATGTTTCAGATTTGTACCATCCTGTTTGAACAGGATCAAAAAATTCGCGTTGTCGCATATAAGATGCTTCGGATCTATCTTTGCATAAGTCTGACAGAGATAAAAACTGTCACTGTACACGTTCTCGAAGCGTACGCCGTGCAGACTTTCCAACAAGCTCATCAGCACGTTCATCTTGCCGCAATTTGATGGGCCACAGATGATACCGCGTATAGAAATTGGTAGCATGTTTCCATGCTTACGTATTTGTTTTTCGGACATTAAGCTTATCTTATCATCAAAATTTGTCACATTGATTGTCTGCGACTGTCCCACGAATCGCATCTTTTCTCATAATACTCTTTCCACATAATACTCAGAAGAATTTATCGAGAGCGGACCTATTTATAGAAGCGCGTAGCGCGAATGTGCTACTTGCCAAAATGTTTCTTATTGTGTCGGATAACTGTGATATTCTCAGTTTAACCAAAGAATTAGAGTATATACCGAAAGTCATTTTGCTGCAAGAGTTTCCGATCTGTATAAGTCAATTGTGGGACAGATTACCCGAGCATATAAAAACTAATTCGGAGGTTCAACAGTATCGTCGGTATCTAAAACATTACAATCAACCGTGGCAGCAGACACACATTGACGGTCCTGCATCATTTGGAAAGAATTGTAGCGAATACCGTCGAGAGACGGCGGTTTGATAAATCGCGCGATGAATGCCCTTCCTTTCGAATTGTATATCCCCGGATATCAGTTTTGCGGCCCGGGAACGCATTTAGAACAGTGATTGGCTAGAGAAGATCGGGGCATGAATCCGCTGGACGCGGTGTGTCGCGAACACGACATCGCCTATTCGCGGAGCAACGAACTCGCTGAACGGCATGTGGCTGACAACATACTCGCTGCAAAAGCGCGAAAACGCATAACCGCGAGAGATTCGACTCTCGGAGAGAGAGCCGCAGCCACAGCTGTTTGAGCGACTATGAAAGCCAAGACGAAATTTGGCATGGGTTTAAAAACGAAGAGGTAAAGAAGCAAGCGAATATTTCCGGTAGCTAAATGCGGAGATATCCTGCCACTCTTACCATTGTTGGGCATTGTCGGTTCGTTGGTCGGTGGGGCGGCGATGGCGGTAGTCGCGAAGGCCGTGAGCGATAACAAAGCCGCGCAGCGTTAGCTGGAAGAATTGAAACGTCACAATCGTGTCATGGAAGGTCACGGAGTTTATCTCGCTCCGTATAAGCGCGGCCGAAGCGTCTCGATGCGGAAGAAGAAAAAAAACTCCAAAAAACGTTAAAATTTCCTCTGCAACTACCAACATACAACTGCAACAATTGGCTGAACGTATGCATATTCCGTATTTCAGAGATATTTTCATGCGAACCACTTTACCGACGGGAGGAGTACGTCGAAATGAGAGCGGTATCGTGAATTTAGACAATGCTGAGGGACTCGATACTCATTGGGTGGCATATGCGAAGAGGGGGAATCATGCTATATTTCGACTGTTTTGGTAATCTTTGACCGTCAAGGGAATTGGTGTGATATCTACAGAACAACGAAACGCAAATCGAATTCAATCGCATGTCTTATCAACGTTACAATCAAAGCAATTGCGGTCAACTGTGTCTACAGTTTTTACAAACGGTAGATAATCTATTTAAAGACAGACATTGCAACATTTAGACTCAGTATTCATTCAAACATGTTACTGACGTTTACGTTACAGGCAAAAGTAGCATCCTCGTGGTAAGCTACTTTCCACCTATAGATTTGAGCGACGGCGAATACGAACTCGGTCTGGCAGATTTTTAAACGTATTATACGATTTATTAAACGTATTATACGATTTTTAAACGTATTATACGATTTATTAAACGTATTATACGATTTTTAAACGTATTATACGATTTATTAAACGTATTATACGATTTTTAAACGTATTATACGAAAATTTGTTATTCGACAAATTTATATTGGGTATCGACCCAATGTAAATTTGTCGAATAATAAATTTTATTTCGACAAAGACGACAAGGAGATTGTAATTCCCGAAGGATCGTATGAACTGCATGATATTGCAAAATATTTGAAACGTGCAATCCTACATGTTCGTCCAAACGATGCTCTGAGAAAGAAAACGAAAAGCGATGAAGAGGATGAGAACGATTACCCGCTAGTAATTCGCGCTAACAACAATACGATGAAGAGCGAAATCAAGTGCGCGTATCGGATAAATTTCACAAAGTCCTGTAACATTTGGATCGCTGCTGGGATTTTCATCAAATCGGACGCTGGAACCACGGCAATAGCACGAATCGAACGTACCGATAAATATCATGAATGTAAACATCATTCGCATTGAGTGTAACGTGCGGGTGCGTATAGTAACGACAAATGCGTGCACACGATACACGAATTTTCGCCGAACGTGCCACCAGGATATAAGATATCGGAAACGCCGACACAAATCATTTACCTTCCGATCATCGCACGGAGCATATTAGATCTGACTATCCGCGTTGTGAATCAAGACGGGCGATTTTCGTGGAGAGGAAATCACTGTGAGGCTGCACGTACGGAGGCGACAGCGATAACGTGAGATGCTTGTGCTGAATAAGTAGGTAAAACGTACAAGAGACACAATTTTTCCTGGAGAGTCAACAGTGAAAAGCATTCGATCTATCAAGAAGAAACTCACTGCTTCCAACATTAAATTTTTAAAATCTTTGGATTTTACTGTGCATACACTGCAAATCTAAGTGTTTTATTTTAACACACTTAAAATGTTTAAACCCTTGTAGTCACTTTTTAATTCTTTAGAACCGTATTAAATATAAAGACACATAAAGTGCTTTTTACAAAACATTTCATATGTTTGACTTTAACGTCGATTTAATGTATTTTAAGTGTTTTAAATATTTAAACGTTTCAAATTAAGATACGTTTCACGCTGTTTGATACACGTAAAATAAAATAAACGTTAATTCAACTTAAAATTAATATTTTTATTTTAATATATCACATTCTTATTAATAATAATGGGTGACAATAAAGGCACTAAGAGTCAATACGCAGAAATCGTTGCGTTAAAGATTCAAGTAGAGATGTATTCTATAACTTAAATTACATCTTCTTACATAAGTCGTACGTTTCGGTCCACTTCAGACCTTCTTCAGCGATTAATACATAGAGTTCTACCAGATTCCCCATATTCCGTTTGTAATTGTTAGAAGTATGTTCCGCAATGTATGAGATGGGCCTTCAGTTCCAAGATTGAATGCAAGATTCATCTGTGAGAATGATCTTATTGAGAGTTGCACTTGAAAAAACTTTGTGTGAACTATTCCGGAGACCTATACTCACCATTACGAAA